GTTCTACTTTTTTTTTTTTTAATATGTCTTCTTTCAAAATATCTAGCTTCTGCACTTTCTGTTCCCTTGGCCTGGCCTGCCTTCCCCCCGGTATCTAGACGTACCACTGCCTTTCCGGTTGGTTTACGCTTGACTTTATCAGTGAGGTCTCTTCCACCCGTCCTATTTGCAGTGGCACAGCACACAGACACACCCACATGCCTTGCACTCCCGATCCTTCGTTGCTGTTGCCTCTCTAAAATTATATATAATTCTCTTATTGTATAATACTGTGTATGTTTGGCTCCCTCCACTAGGGGATAAGGCCCCTAAGAGCAGGAAATTTGCTTTGTTTTGTTTCCTGCTGTATCCCCAACTCCTAAATAGTACTTGATAAATAACAAGCACCCTATAATTACCTCTCAATGAACTTCCTCAACTTTATCTTGTAATATTTGTTAATTGTCTGCCTCATATTTTTAATTTCCATGAGCTCTTTTTTGTTCTCTCAATGCTCCTTTCTATAGGATCCTGTTTCTATCCTGGATGCAGCATATTTATATTGACTTTAGATTTTTAGACATCTTTTTTGTCCCTGCTTTTTTCTCCAATTTCTTCCATTCTATTTTGTTCCTGCTTCTTTGTTTTTCTCCCTGGTTTTCACATGATTGGCTGTCCTCAAGTATGTGCACATACGTGGTGTGTCTTGACATTGAAGAGTGAGGCACCTAAAGGCTGGCTGACAGTTCTATGTATGTGGGCAGGTCTTATCAACTGGTAACTGATCAGGTGGCCCGTTTATTTCATGTAGAAACCCCAACTTTCAACAAAGGTTGTTTTTTTTAGGGGAGTCACTTTCCCTAGGGAAGACTCTTACTACTTAGGGCATAGCAGACTAGCAGCCAGTCTCCCGGGAGACAGGCTGGGGAAGGGGCCCAGCGGACATTCAAGTCTGCATGTGGATGTTGGCTCAGTTCCTTTGCTTCAGTGGGTGCCTCCCCTCTGCTCTCAGCCAGGCATAGCATTTCGTGGTCCAGAACTCCCTTGGCCTTGTTTCTCCAGCTAGTTAACAGCTCAGCTGAGATGGGATGGATTAATCCCTTGGCCACGGCTTGATTCAATTCCATCTTTCCTTTCACCCTTCAGGCACCACGCAGAGTGGGAAACCAAAGTCCGACCTCTAACCTGTGCTGTACACAAGCCTTCTGAGAGCACTGATGACAAGACTATTTCAGTCATTTGTGGGTCTGTACACTAGACTGCATATTCCTGAATGTAAGCATTGAAGCATTTAACAGTTTGTTAAGCCAGTTCCTCCCAGAGTTAGACCCTGAGGCAAAGATTTGGGTGCAAGTGATTTGTTAAGGGGATGCTCCCAGGAGCAACAAGTGAGGATGTGGGAAAGCAGGACAGACAAGGGGGAAGAAATCAAGTGAAGCCCCAGCCTCAGCCTGACTCTGAGGGAAGTTCTGCATCACAACATTTCCACCTTAGAATTAACCCCACTTCCGAGCAGAGGGTTGGACCTTTGTACTTCCACACCATCTCTTAAGGAATTTTGTGATATGGGGGGGAAAGCAAAAAAACTCCCAGGTGTTTCTAGCTCTTAATATTGGCAAAGTGACCTCATTGCCCAAAGGGAATCCTCTGAAGGTCTTGCATGTGAGCCGTTACCAGCAAAGCCTGGGGAAGCTGGATGACGGGTCCCAACACTGATAAAAAGGATCCAAGGAGAGCTAAGCGGGCACCAACAATATCAACTAAATTCTAGTGTCTTCCTCAAACAATCATTAAATAAAGGAGTGGTAGTCCCCCATAATTATAAAGTATTTTGCAGTTTACAGAGTTGTTTTGTTTTTTTCTTTTCTTTTTTCTGATCTCATTGCAATTGATCTTTGGAGTAATTTTAAAAAGAAAGAAGAACAATATTATCCTTACTGTTCAAGACTCAAATAAGGCAGAGATTAAGCGACTTTTCTAACACTTTCAGATTCTAGGCCTAGAGTGTATTCCAGCATGCTGCATCATATGCAAGTCTCATACATATTTTACATAGACTTGGAATGCCTAAAAATATGAACTATTTAATCTAAGTATCATGCCTTTCATAACTGAAAAATATAGGAAATACTTTAAGGAATGATTTACTTTTTACTTTTAAAATTATTTCCATTTAGTTCATCCAATATTACGTAGAAAAACTGGGTTAGTGGCAAGCTCCATATTAGATGTCTCCTGTCGACTGAAATAAATGCGCAGCCTAAAAGTTGAAAGTTATGTTTTATTTGGCAGGAGGACTTGAGCCAGGATGACACCCTCTCAGATCGCTCTGAGGGACTGCTCCAAAGAGGTAGGGGAGGAGCTAGGATATATAGGAGCTTTACAACAAAGACCGGGTAGTTGGAACAAGAAAAGATTACTTGTTATCTAAAGAAAAGCAGGCATCTCAAGTTAAAGAATTTAGTGCTTTTCTATGTATGGGAGGAAGCAAACATTTGGGCTCATTGAATTCATTCCTTTGACAAGCATCTAGTTACCTAGGGCCAGTATCTTGTCCTTTCTTATTCTGAGTCCCCTCAGGGTGCACCATTGTCAGTGGCTGCAGGGGCTGGGCTGCAGGCTTGTCTTCACTGTGGGGGGTCGCAGCAGCCGCTGATGACTTGATGGTTTCAGCATTCTTTGTTTACTGAAACGGTTTGCAGTATTTTTCGTTTGCACTCCTTAGTTTAGTTCCCACCATCATTCAAAGCTTCTCCCTGTGTTTCATTACTCAGTTGGTTTAATTAAAGCCAGTGTGAGAGAAACTTGTAAAAAGGTTTCTGGAGCACTGCAAGAGGTTGATTTGTTTAGGATGTGCTTGGAGTTCTTCCATAATTTTCCCATATGGGCCTATTTACATATCACACTTACGACTCATGACATTACTACCAAAGTACAAATATATTCCCACAAATATTTCCAGTAACTCTTACAGTCTATGATCAATATAGCAGACATTCTGTCTTACAGGTCCAGAATCACTTACCAATAGAGAGTCTGCTCTTGCTTCCCTTTTCTGCTTACATTAGACCACCCAGCAATGGGGAGTCTCTCATTGATACGATAAATTCAGAGATAAAGTGAGAACAGACGTTTACCCCATGGATCTTCTCAGAACTAAATAGCTGCTATTGTGTTAGCTCGCCTCCTGTCACGTGAACCCTTTATCCCTCCTGGATGATCTAAAACAGTGCTTTTCAAATCTGGTGGCATGTTAAAGTCACCTGGGGAGCTTTAAAATACACCGACACCCTGGCTCTGCCCCAAACTAATTAAATCAGAGTCCCAGGCACAGGTCTAAGTTTAAAGCTCCCGTGTGATTGTGTCATGCAGCCAAGGTTCAGTACACTGACCTGAAACAGAAGAAATGTGACAAATGCATTGGTGTCAGGAAGAGATTTGGCCGTCTCATGTATCTTAGTAGCAGATTTTCAATTCCTTTTAAGCTGAGGGTTTCTCCATTTATTTTGGTCTTTTTTGCTGACTTGGTCAGTCAGCTTGAGGCCTGTTAGCAGTTGTTTGGTATACTTTACACATATTAGAAAAAGAAACTGGTATACCTTATAGAAGCCGAAAACTGAAACTTGTTTCTACCTTGGTGCTTCTGAGCCTCATTTTCTCTCCCTGAGCTCATCAGGAAGGGGGCCAGCACTTATCTGCTGTATTTTCAGCTCAGCTTTTGTCTCTGCCTTCCTCTCTTCTCCTGACCTGTTGCCATATTCTGTCTGTTCCTTAGAGTTTAGTACAAGGAACCCCCTGTAATGCTCTTAGAAATATAATTCCCTTATTAGTCCAAGGAATCTGCACTGTTGTAGTTTAACCCGCTCCTTGGGGAATTCTCATACAGGTAATACAGAGAGGCCGTTTTGAAAAACAAGACTCTAATTTCTTTAGTTGTTATTGTTATTTTCTTCAAGAATTATAGAAGAAATAAAATGTGATTTAGAAAGATACCCCGACATTACTGTTTTGCTCCCTTCCATTCTGTGAGTTGACACATGAGAAAGAGTCTACTTAATCATTTGATGTAGAGTACACACATACATACTCATGTATATATGTCCATTTATATAAAAAGTGATGAATTCATGACTCACTTTGGTGTTATGATTGGTGGTGTGTGACAAGAAAAAAAGGTCTTTGGGAAATTATACACACCTAAGTAATTTAATGGTTACTTCTATTTATAAAGAAATATTCTATAGAATAAAATATCCATATTTCAATTCTAATTGGTCTTGAACATGTCATGATGTTAGACTTATGTTTAGAAGGTATTATATCTCCCCAGGATAGAGATTTTATCATAATGTGGCAATTATTATGAAACTTTTTCTTTTTGGGGGGAAAGATCAAGTTTTAACTAAAAACCTCCAAGGATATTTTAAAACTTAGTAGAATTATAGAGCATGTATGTTTTACTTTTTAATTTAATTTAGCTATACCTTTTATGGATAGTGTATATTGGGTATTTTTTAAAATGTGTATTTTAAAATTTTACATGCTAGACAAGTGTCCTAATTGGAAAACAAAGAAAAATGTTGATTGACATTATAAACTGTATTAAGCCACATTAATATCTTAAAATATACTATTGACAAGTAATAAAGTAACAAAAACAATTTATGTCCTTTAAATTTACAGAGAACTTTTTAAAATTTTTAATATGTTTTGAATTTTAAATGTAAACTTTATTCCTTTGGGTCCAATGAAATAACTTTCATTTTCTTCCCAGTAAAACTGTGTAAGTATAATATTTAGAGGTAGGAAAAGTATGTTTTAAAAACAATCTTTGAATAATAGGAATTATATGTGATTAATATTTACATTTTCATATACTATAAAATAATATAAATTAGTAACGTCTGTTTAGGATTTGGATTTGCATTATATCACATCATTCAATTTTTCCATGTTATGTTTGAACATGATTTAATGGTATATGATGTAGTACAGTCTGTCTCACACATGACCATTTTCAGTTTCTTGGCAGCACAGAAGTGGAGCAGCCCAAAGGAACAGAAGTTGTAAGAGATGCTGTAAGAAAACTAAAGGTAGGGCAAGCCCTCCAAAGAAATGTCTAGCGTATTGAACTTGCCTCACGTCATCAGTAGATTGATGGAAATTCAAAGCATGAATAGCTTTGTGGCAGATGCGACTTCACCCTGTTAAAAATGGACTATTGAATAAATTTCACTAGACCATGGAAATGTACTTAATAACAACTATGTAAACACAATTAATTGTTTTTCTGAATATGGCACACTCTTCATGTTTTTCTAAGGTATAATTTCTCATACTTAACGAGAAGAATGTAATGGCAATATTTCACAAGTGTTGGCATTTAGTAGTTTGCCTTTACTTTGCTTGGACAGTGTGGACACATGCCCCAACTCACAAGCTAATGACAGTGGAACAACTGTCTCTGATAGACTATCGTATCCACCAGCTGAAAGTGTGGAGTTAGAGTTAATTCCAAAGCAGAATTTTGCAGTGACACTGTGTGTTAAAGCTGTCCTAATGGACAAATCCACAAGGATCTGGCCATGTCCATAAGCAGACCTGGGAACTGGTGAGACTAAGAGCAGAAAAGGACATTTAATAGGCAAAAAATCCGCATGCTCGTAATCTGCAAATTTCCTGAGAAGATCTTAACGAAAGCTGCCACGCATCCTTTGCAGGTTTTTCTAATTGCATCCCATCCCAAAAGACATTGTTCCCCCTGAGATTTTAAGATTTGAACTCCTTCAACAGAATTCTCATGTTTCTCTCATTAAGAAAATCTAACATAGCACTATTTTGTTAGCATAGTTCATTGTTATTCTCTATGACTGTCTCAAAAATTTTTTGAGAAACAACCCTTCTATCACTTTATTTAGTTTAGGTATCATCCAGTTATTCTATAGGTGGGGAAGGTTTCTGTGCCAAATGAAGTCATAGACATTAAAAAGTATTACTTTGCTTTTGAGAATGTCTTATCAGGTAGAAACTACTATTTCAATTGAGGAAAAACTGAAGTGAGTTAGCTTGTTTTCTGGGAAACAAAATAAAAGGAGATAAATTTTTATCCATTTATTTTATATATATTTTACCTTATTTAAAATATTTCAAAATATCTTATAACTTTTTATATTTTACTTATTTTTAAGTAAATATACTAAAAGTTCCAATGATGCTAACACTCCCATTTGGAAAAAAAAGGGGAGTAGCCAACCATTTATTTCAACTACTCATTAGGCAATAAGTCAAACTTGTGCTTTTTTGGCAGATACTTTTAAGCACCATGGAGGATTAAAAAGTTCTCACAATTTATGGATACTGTTTAAAATAACCTACTTAAATATTTAAAATGTTGCACACTCTGGGCATGAATCCAACTTCACTACAATCAGAATGTTTTATAAAAGAATAACTGTATTTACACTCTATGTTTCCTTATACCCAGTAGGGTATTGAACCCAAATCCAAACCCGAAAGGATTCAATTACATAATTACTAGATAAAATTTAAAGAGGTGTTTGAAATGAAATGCTTTCTAAATGATGGCTAATTTTTGTATAATGTTGTGAGACTTTATATGCAGATCTTATGTAGTTTCATGTTTGGAAATGATCCTATTAATAAAAGAATGAGATTTACAGTAAGATCAATATTATGCAGTATAGTTTAAAAATGCATACTAGGTTGATAGTAGCTTTTTTTGTCTTTCAAGTATCTTCCAGAATACTTAATTTAATAAGCAGTCTTTACTCCGTTGATTGAAAAAATTTTGTAGATCAGGAAACTGTATCTAAGGGTAATGATTCATGAACTAAAGCAAATGAATAAAATAATGCTTTTTATTTACTTTTTTGTTTCTTTGCGTCAAAGGTCAGAGGCTACAACTCAGAGTATACAAGAGTATTTACATTTATTTATTTTAATTTCTAGACCTTGGTTCCTCTCTAATTCTGTTGTCATGTAGAAATGGCCAGAAGATGGTGCTATGACTCTACTAAAAAAAAAATTATCTTATTAACTGTTTTATGTACACATCCCCCATTTTAATTTCCTGCTTATTTTTCTTAAACATATATATTCTGACTACTTTTTTATCCACCATCGTTCAGTATTTTATTTTATTTGCCACATAAGGTAACATTTTATTTACATTAAATTTTTTTTCAAGTTTCCAGTTAGATATATTGGTTTCTGACATTAAAGAAGAATTCAAAATTTAAGACTAATACAAGATGATGTAAAATTTATAAGATTTTCTGTGATGTATTTTTTCATTCTTCTGTATTTAATGATGCCTAGTCATTTTTCAAGAAATTTAAAAATTTTTATTTATTTTACTGGGAACTATTTTTCTGTCATTTTGTGGACGATTTGTAGTTTATAAAGTTTTCTTGAATATAATAATTTGTATGTACTTACTTTCAGAAATTCTGTATTTATCAAAACAACATATTTTCTATTTCTCAATCATGTTCAACAATTTCTGTCTCTTCATTGTGTTTTAGTCTATGATTTATGAAAATACTACATTTTCCAAAAAGTAATCATTGAAAAACCTTTCATTCTATATACTGAATATCATTGTTATGGTAATGAATTTCATTTTTAACAGTGAGTTACTTATTTTCATTAGTACAACTAGTACGCATGTCATAGGGCTCAATATATTTCATAGATAATCTGCTTGTGGTACTTACATGTGGATGAATATTGGTGTATAGTTCCAAAACGTCTTGATTTCTCTGGGAGATAACTAGGGGGCAGTATTCCTGGACCCTAATTTTAGAGGATGGGTCCCCTTGTTCCAATGGGGCTAATTTAAAATTACATGAAGGCTACCTCAGGGCATGTGGCCTTGGAAATTACGGAAAGTTCTGTTAAATCTAGGCCCAGCAGTTTCTCCATTTGACCTCACTCTCTCTGTGCAGTGGAACACTCTGTTTTTGTCTTCATGACCAGTTATTTAATTAATGAAATGCTTGGAGCTTATTTTAATGATATGCATAGCTGTTTTCTCTGTAGGATTATTAGGAATACATTTAAATTAAATCAACAATTTACAAGAACCACGAAGAGGATTAGTAGCTCAGAATTAATTCATTAATTTTATTGCCTAATAATGTATATTCCATTAATAATATAGTTATATTTTCTTTTTCAGTCCTCTGAGAAATGAATAGAAATTGTGTGATGATGAAACTCAGTGGTGCTCCCTTTAAATTATCTTTAGCTCTTCTGCTTGTGGCATATATTTAACTAATTGCTTTATGTCTTTCAAGTAATACTTCATCCTTCTCATCATTTTGTGGTAATAACGGCTTGTTTTTGTCAACTGAAAAAAGTGCACAACTTAAAAGCTGAGAGTCATGTTTTACTCAGTGGGCGTTTCTGAGGACTTTGGCCTGGGACGCTGCCTCTCAGATGGCTCCAAGATGAGCCAAACAGGCAGGAGGGGGAGCCAGGACATACAGGAGTTTTGCAACAAAGACCAGGTAGTTGGAACATCAAAAGATTACTGTTAATTAAAGAAAACCAGATATCTCAAGTTAAGGAATTTAGCACTTTTCTATGTATGGGAAGATGCAAAAGCGTGGACTCACTGAAATCATTCCTCTGATACGTACCTTAGCTGTCTAGGGCCAGTGTCCTGTTCTTTTCCCATCCAGGCAGAGGTAGTGGCTGCTGATTTGATGGCTGCAGTATCCTTTATTTACTGATATGGCAGGCAATATTTTTCTTTCACATTTTTATTTGTTTTTTATATCAGATATCCTCTAGAATGCTTAAGCTTTACCCCTCTTTGAATATCTTTATTGGATTATTATATTTAAGTTTCACCAGTAGATCACTCTATCTAGATGACTAAGACATGTATCTACTGAATTAAAAATGGAAAAAAAAATTGTAGAAGGCTCTTCAAGCATTAACATTCTAGTAGTAAATAGGGAGAGAAAAATACAATGTAAGAATGATGAGTGTGCCTTTGAAAAGCAAATTAGAGTATTTTGGAACATTATTGAGATGTCTACAAGTTGGAAAAGTGACTTAGATCATGCAAACTATAAAATATAGGCATCCTAAATTTAAAATATATATATATATAGATTGAACAAATAGAATCTTTGGCTTAGATGTTTTGCAATGTCTGTTTAATAGTCAAGGCCAGTATCCAATGTAAACCTTGATAAACATGAAAACAGAACTGGGATTTTTTTTTTATTTCTAACACAGAAACGGCTGGGCAAAAGAAAAGCATTATTTAGTAGGTAGCAAAACTAGATTCTAGGCCTGATTGCTACAGACCCATTTTATGACCAAGGTAAATAACTTCTCTAAGATTTATTTTTCTCATCTTTGAAATGGGAGGATTGAATTGGATGACCTCTGAATCTTTTTTAAGCACAATTATGTCATCCTGATATGAAACAAAAGAAGAGGTTTCACAAGCCATAGATCAGATATTTTATGTTTATTTTTCTTTTTCTTTGTCTCATTCTCTTGTTTCCCCCCTCCCTCCCTGCCTCTCTGTTTTTAGTACTTGTAGCCCCTACTTCCTCCCTTTATTTATTTGTTCCATTCTTTCTTCCCCTCTTTTTTTCTGGCAGAAAAGAAATAACTCAACAGATAAGTTTAATATTAGTGGTTGTTTGGTGATGGACTTTTTGGAAACTAAAAGAGGTCACAGGAATGGCTATGTCCAGATGTTGAAAAGGCTTCAAGAGCTATTGCTCACTGTCTGTTTCTGGAAAAGAGCAGCACCCAGGAAGCCAGCTCAGGCTGCTTCTGCGGCCAGTGATGGGAATGGCTTTGTTCCGACGTGTTCACATAGATAGAAAGCAGCTGATTTATTTTGTCAGCCTTCATATGTGAAAACCCCCAAATTGTTTTGATTATACCAGTACAGGAAGACGATTATGAAGGGAAAAGAAACAAATTAATCCACTTTCTTTGGGAGAGAGCTGGGATAATTTTAAAAGATCTGCACTTAAGCAAAACAAGTTTTTAAAGGAAAAGAAAAATTCTGACATGAATTAATCAAATTTATGTGCAGAATGTAAGACTGCTGAATACCAAGAAAAAAGCTGCATGTATTTATAGGACAGGACAGACAGCAAGCTAAAAAAATAATACCACCCAAAAGGAGTACAAATGATACGCTCCTCCTTGCCCTGCATATCAAGGCAGACACTTCAAAGCATTCTTACGTGCATTGATGATATTATTCTCCATGGTGGTGCAAAGTCATTAAAAGAGAAAGAGACCTTTAACCACTCTCTGCTCTGGCACTGAGCTGTACCATGTATATTCACATCTGCCCTAAATTAGAAAGAAATGCACAATGCAAATAAATATGACACACAAAAGAGGACTGAAGCCCCACCCCTGCCTCACGTATAATCTATTCCAAATCAAGTTAGGATGATCTATATGGTGAAAAAATATTATAGTAGGAAGTAACTTTGAAGTCTTCGAAGAGGGTTAATAAATATCTTTTTTTTTTCAATAGTTCTTTTCAGCTTCTTGAAAAGAAAGGTGGACAAAAGGAAGGAGGAAAGAAGGAAAGTAGGGAGAGAGTGACATTGTCTGATAAAATCAGTACACTTAATACACTTTGAAATTCAGAAAAACAATGAATAATTTCTTTGGCATAACTATGTCCCAACTATTACATGGGACATACTTATACTAGATGGCATATATATGTTATATGTGTATACGTATATATGGAATGTTTATGTGTATTCTAAAAGAAAAAATTTTTTAAACAATTATTGTTTAATATTCAGATTTAACTGGGATCCTATAATTTTTCTGCCACTAAATCTGACAATGCTAGGAAAGCGGCAGAAACTCCAGCTACTAGGTGCATGAATATTCTGATTTTCTTTTCAATTTTATAACAGAACCTAACAAGCATTTACATACACTTATTAATTCAATAAAGAAATACAATAGATACTACTGCAAAAGCATTGAAAAAATCTTCATGTTTTTCAGGAAGACATACTATATTTATAATTCTAGACTGAGTCTAGTTCTGAGTCTTTTAGCCAGGACACTTACTTCAGTTGTTAGCTTCAGTTTGAGTAGTGTAATCTCTCTCTTTTCATTCACTGATTTGATTGATTTGATGGGTAAGACAGTGTACCAAACAAGGTAAGTATCTAAAAATGGCCAAGAAGGCATATCCAGTGAAGTCGATTGCAAGTTCTATAAAGTCACTAAAAACGGTAGATCCACAGAAAAAGAAATTGATCTCTGCTTATTTTCCCACAAAGAGTCTTTACTTTCTGTTCGGTATGAATACAGTTTTTTAAATATCATGGAAGTACATTAAAATTTTTTTTAAAAGTTATTGAAAATCAATCTGATGTTAATGTTAGTAATGTTAGCTCACTATGATTTCTAAATATTTGGGGACTGTGTGGGGTTTATAAAAATACATTACAAAAGGCAATACTTTAATGAAAGTCCAACACTGAATACACTCAAATATATATTGTGTTCATTCTCCATAGAAAGAGATTTATAGTTTTGTGAATAAATTTTCATTTGTAGTTTGCAAGACATATCAAGAAATCTGAAGGCCAGAAAATTCCGAAAGTTGAGTTGCAAATATCAATTTATGGAGTAAAAATTCTAGAACCCAAAACAAAGGTAAGGCTTATTTTTGAACATTGGAAGCACTTTAATCTTTAAGTAATGACAGTTACATTCCTATTTTAATGAATATTCAAAACATCTTACCAGTTGAAACTATTTAGTTCTCAGTTAATGTCAATTTGAAACTCTATAGAAACTTTTAAGGGAAAAGAAAACAACTCTTGGGATCGTTTTCTGAGCGATTTGTTCTCAGGCCTGTGTTTGGGATGTAAAAATTTACAGTAAGTATGTTCAACAGAATTTGGTCTTATATTTAGAAATTTCCCATCGTGTGCTGTGAAGGAGCTGCAGTTAAGTGTGGGTCACTGAGTGTGAAAGAAGACAAAAGCTGTGTGTTATTTGGTAAAATATTCTGGACTGACTCTTGTTGCTTGTAAACATAATCAGTGTGTATTAGTTTATTACGACTGCTATAATAAAATACCAGAGGCCTGGTGGCTCAAACAATGGAAATGTATTGCTCACAGTCCTGGTGGATGGCAATCCCAGATTAAGCTGACAGCCGCAGGCGTGGTTTCTTCTCAGCCTTCCCTCCTCCACCTGCAAGTGGCCACCCTCCTGCTGCTTCTTCACGTGGTTGTCGCTGCGAACACATCCCTGGTGTCTCTTTGTGTGTCTAATTTCCTCTTCTTAAAAGGACATCTGTCAGACTGGATCAGGGGCCACCCAGAGGACCTCACTGTAACTTCATCACCATTTTTGAGCCTTATCTCCAAATAAGGAGATTCAGTTCCTTTCTGAGGTATGGGGAGTTAAGGCTTCAATATATGAATTTGGTGGGGAACATAAGTTTATACTGTGTTAGGAGCTGAATTAAGATTCTTGTATTTAAGAGCTTTTCCAACTACAGAGCCAATGGAAAGAAATGGAAAACAATCTATTCTAGAATCACATTCATTAATATGTACTTGTGGGTGTAATTGTTTTCACCGAAAATTCCTATGTTGAAGCCCAACTTGCAATGCAACTCTATTTGGAGACAGAGCCTTTAAAGTAATTAAAATTGAATGAGGTCTTAATTGGGCCTTAATCCAATAAGAGAGCGACCTTGCAATAAGAGGAAGAGACACCAGGGACGTGGGAGCACAGGGGAAAGGCCATGTCAGGACACAGCGAGAAGCCATCTGCAAGCAAGAAACCAGACACGCTGACACCTTGACTTGAAACCTTCCGAACTGTGAGAAAATACATTTCTCTTGTCGAAGTCACCCAGTCTGCGGTATTTTGTTATTACAGCCCTAGAAAATAAATATAGTATTTTATTTGCCTCAGAATTATCGCTTAGTAATTTTGATAAAACCGTGAAAGTCAGTTTGGAAAAACTGAGTAACATTCAACTCCAATTATTTTACAAATATATATTATCAATGCTTTTTTTTTAATACTGCAGCATGCTTAGTGACAAATTAATTCTATTTGAAAGCTGAAGGAAACCCTGGCCTGGAAACAGAGTATGAAAATATTTTCACAGGTCTGCCCCTTTCTCTAGTCCAGCATTTACCACTGATACCATCACTCTGTGCATAACAAGCCCTGGCAGTCTTGATATTCAAAGTGTGGCCCGTGAACCACCAGGAATCAGCATCACCAGGAGCCTGTTAGAAATGTAAAACCTCAGGCCTCATTTCAGACCTACTGAACCTGCAATTAAAGAAGAAACATGGTGATTTTTGTACACACAGAAGTTTGAGCTGTTCTGGTGTCGCACGCAGACTGCTGCTTCATTTTCAACGTCTAGTCCGTGAAACACTGACATTAAAAATACCTGCGACACTCGCAGCAATAAGTCCCACACCCTGTCTTAGCCTGCAGAATCAGAATTACCCTGGAAAATTTGCATTTTTAATATCTTTGAGGATGACTGGACAATAGCATGGATGTAACCACAGTCAATTCAAAATTAAAGAACAATTGCATTCCTTCAGACTTCTCAAACCGTGAATTTAAGACCTCCCTCGACTGTTCTAATTTCCTCCTATTCTCCACATTCAATAGTAAATAACAGAGAATTGGAGACCATACTTTTGGTTTTGGTTATTCCAAAATGACTATTGCTGAGGTGGCTGAAAGCAGATAAAAGCAGTGGTAAAAGAACAGTGGAAGTTCTCTTCAAGCTTATAATGAGTATGAATATATACGAATTCAAATGTGAAATGATATGCACGTATCTATATATCCAAGCTTATAATGGAATATATACACACACACACACACACACACATATATATATATTTGCTGGGAAATGAGGCATTTGAAAGTGAGGCATTGTCTGCAGGTGGGTTGGCTGGGATGCCTTCGTTAGACAAATGGTAGTTAATAAAAGAACAATAGGCTGAGGAAGCAGTAAGTTTCTGGATAACAATGCTCTCAAAAGGGTAGCAACCAACGTAGTCTTATATGCAATTAAAAAGGAAACAGTCCTAGTCCTGCATTACCTTTTTACATTCAGTGGCTATATAGTGGCAAATGTCCAGTTAGAACAAGTCATTTGTAGGTAGGTCATCTTTCTGTTTAGAGTTTCTTCTAAACCATATAGATCTGTTTTGGAGTGTATGCATGTGTGATTATTGTTAATTAAAATTTCTTACATGGATTTTAGGACTTGTCAAAGCACACCTTGTAATATGTGGGGATGATAATACACTTTATGTATCACCTACATTCATTGTTATTCGTTTTGGTGAGTCTACCCATAATATATCCTAGGCTATAAGAATTTCACCAATGCCATAATCTATAAATTATAATCTACTAAACCATTCTCCTATTATTGAACATTTAGAATGCTTCAATTTTTCAGTAATTAATACAAAGTTTGATTATTTAGAAAATACAAATATGCTTAAATACAGTATATAAAGAGAATATCTTTAGCATTTAGAATTGACATTTTAATAATGGCACATCTTTACAAAAGCACAAAATATCAAGACAAAGATACTGCAAGATGACTAACACTGATATAATATGTGGTGTATGTGTGTAAAAAGAGACAGAGAAGGGGATCATGGGAATACAAATGTAGCAAATGGTACAGTTGGTGATTCTAGAGTTGCCCATAATGACTCCCATAATAATGAGTTTTCTTTTGACAACCTGTCATCTGTATCATCCTCTTCCCTAAACTTTTACTGTCAAATCTCCATACCTCTCCCAACCTAAACCCCATTTACAAAGCGTCAAGGAGGTAGGATTCAACTCAGTATAATTAGCCTGTTGACTTTTGATCATGGTATTCCTTACCCAAATCAGTAACACCAATCCTTTTCTTCCCTGGCCCAGAGTCTTAGTTTCCTGTACTTAATAGCTAATTGTAAAGAGGCTCTATTGAATTTTTCCCCAAGAAAGTAAGTTTTCCAAACTTTTAACAAGGAAGAAGCATTATTTTTATCCCTACCGAACTTGAAGAGTGATTGTGGAATTCAATTATATTACATACGGATAGAAAGCAACTGACTCTTTACTCACATATTATATGTCAATATAGAGTAGCCAACTCTTTACCTATAGTAGAATGTACCATTTTTTGAATCCATAAAAAAAAGTAGGTAATCTAAATAAGGGATTACCAACTCTCCTGGGCATTAGTGCCCCTAGGAGACTCCTGAGAATGCTGACTGCTGGAGTCCACCCAGGTTTTTCAGATTCAGAATCTGCAGAAGAAGCCTTAGTATCTGTATCGTAACAAACAAAACTTCCCAGGTGACTCTGAGCCAACCTAAACACAGATACGTATTTAGGAACCATTATTTGAAGAGATGTGAGTGAACCAGAAAAAAAAATCTGTTATTTATTTTATTTTGAATATAAGTTGTAATTAAGGGAAAAAATAATGAAATATGGTCCTAAGATAAGTTTATTTATAGTAAATATATGTATATTTTGCTACATATTTATATAGTAAATAAATATGTATTTATATATTAAGCATAAATATTTATATATTAAAATATTCATTCAATATTAATCTAACATGGACTTGATAAAAGTCTAAACAGAAATTAAGACAATTCCCAACCGTCATCACCAAAGGCTTTCTGTGATCACACTGGTTGGTGAGTGAGTGAGGGACTGCATAGGTTTCACCACCAGCTATGTAGAAGATGTGTTTTCATGTTACTTGTAATTTCTCCTATAAATGGAAAAAAATGTATCTCTTCCTGTATTGTATAGCACCATGTCCTCTTTATCATTTACATGTTTATGCAGTTAATAAACTGGTGTAGACATGCTGTCAGTATTTGGGAGCTACCGTGCAGCTGAAGAATACTGTTTCACTTTGTTAACAGTAAAACAAAAAACATGTCAGTGAGGAAGAGACTTGTCAATCAGGCAAAGTATAGGAGAAGGATAGTCTCAGACAAATGGGTTCATTATCCATCTCAGCACTAACCACAAGAAGCCACCAGAAACCTTAGTAAGTTGAGCATTTTTCCTTCCTGCTGTTTAAATGGATCAATCAGGCTATCTGGTAATGAAGAAAACATTACAGCCCTACAGTGTACTTCCTTGTTTTAATTTTCATGCTTGCAATCAACCCTTTGAGGACTTACTGTTTGTTTTGTATGCAAGGAAGTAATGCAGTGCTAGAGACAATTCTCTTA